TTTTGGGGTTGCGAGGGTTCCTTAGGGTTTATGAGGGCTCAGGGTTTAGGGATGGGGCTCAGGGCTCATAGGATCAAACCTTGAAGCTTTAACCCATCGGTCTTACGGAGTTTATAGTGGTGATAGGGTTTAAATTTAGGGTTCAGGAGGGGTTGGTTTAGGGTTAGGACTTCTCCCGACCCACTAAAAGATCCAAGAAGGGGACGACGAAATCCTAAAGCGTAAACCCTAGACCTCAATAATCTCTCGGGTTCCACAAATTTAGTCATGGGCGCATCTTCTTGTTTGTTTGTTTGTGGGATCCCTGGGTGGGTTCGGCTAAATTTAAGGCATTGTAAACCCGAAGCCCTAACCCACTAAGCCCTTACCCCTAGGGTTACGGTTCCTGAGGTCATGAGGCTTGACGTCTCAGATTCTGAGGTTTGACACTTGAAGATTCAGGGATTGTTCAGGGCTTGCAGTCTCCTTAGAGGTAAGGCTGTCGTGTCCGAGCTTATGTGGCAACATGCTTTGGGTCAGAGTGTAGAGCATTTGGGGGTCAAGGTTGTAGGTTTTGGGTGTTTAGAGCTTGGGTTATTGGAGTTCTGTTTTGATTTTAATGCGGCCTTAGTAGCGCAGACGCGTCAGAAGCGTGGAAATACATACAGGGAGAGGATACCGCACGTTTCACAATGTGGGCTTGTGCATTGAAGATTTCAAGCTGTGTCGAGTGAATCTGAAGGGTTATATACGGTTTATACAGGGATGTATAGGGTTTGGGGTTTCCCAAAATTAGGGGTACCTTTTATGGGGCGCCCCATAATAAGGATTGTAGTTTTTGGGGGTCCATATTGGGGCCCCTTATTTTGGAAACTACCTCATAGCTTGATAATCCACGGAGGTAAGGGGCAAGGTCAAGCCTCGATGCAAGGCTTTTCAATCTTGTAGGCGACGTGCGGCAGAAGCGGCTAACCTGCAAAACGTGGAGCTACGAAGGGAAGCCAGTTAACCAAAGGTAGTTTGGCGTCATGCAGAAAAGAGGCCGCACGTGAAGTGCCAGGTTCGCCGCAATGCAGCGTTGACAGATGCTGTGCCATTCCCGGGGAGCCCGATACCCCTGAATTGCATCATACTAAGGGGCCCAAGTACATATTTGAGTAATGTACCTTAGTTAAGGAAGATACCTTAAAAGGTACTAAGGTCCTTCCGTATATTGCATATTATACATTTTTGCTTTACGGTATTTTCGTTACATACCCTAAGCCCTAAACCTGAACCCCTAGACCCTAAACCTAAACCCTAGGGTATATTCCTTAAGTAATTAAGGGATATTGCGCCCGCCGGCATGAAAGCCAGGCACTCCTTCAGCTGTCCTGCGTTTAGGGTCTAGGGGTTTAGGGTTTTAGATTCTAGAGGTTTAGGGTCTAGGGGTTAAGGGTTAAGGGTTTTAGTTTTTTAGGGGTTTCGGGTTCAGGCTTTTAGATTTTAGGGGTTTATGGTTTAGGTTTTTAGATTTGGGGGGCTTAGGGCTTAGGGTTTAGGGTCCACGGGTTTAGGGTCTAGGGTCCAGGGGTTCAGGGATTGAGGGTCATGTTTATGGGAATGAAGAGCTGGGCACAACAACGCCGTGTTTTTAGGGATGCCCTCCAGAACATGACATGAGCAGCTTTGCTCCTACGATCTATCACAGCCAGTACTTTTTCTTTCTTATTATTACTATTGGTAGTATTACTATGAAAATGAAGTATTACCATCATCATTTCTACTAGTACTTCAAGATGCTGACCTCACGTTGGGTTGCAGGGTTGCAAGACAGGAAAGCGTCTTCACACGCGAAGAAGCAAACTCAGTCGTGCTTTTTGAGGATAGGCAGGGATACTTTAGGAGGACCCCCCCACCCTGTAATAGTGGTATAATGGGAATATAAGATGACCCTAATATAATCCTTATAATCCTTTATAGTCACTATTACTGGGTGGCGGGGTCCACCTAAGTAATAGGTATGTGAGCGGGGACGTGGTAACAAGCACTGATGTAAGGGAGGTACAGAGCAAAACAAAAAAAAGCAAGGCATGGTAGAACACATATGAGCCATAGTGTAAACTCCTTAAAGGGGGGTTATATAGGGGATTATATAGGGGGTCTACTATAGGGGTTATTAGAGATGTACAGATTTTAGGGTTCGCTTTTGTAGCCGAACAGCCCCAAAAAGTAGAACAGCTGCCCCCGAGCAACCACTTGGTCTAGATTCGGCTCCTTACCCAGGACATAGGGAACAATATTTAGGTTAGGAGGACCCCCCAACCTGAAATAGTGGTATAATGAGATTATAAGAGGACCCTAATATAATCCCTAGTATCCCTTATAGTCACTATTACTGGGTGGGGGGGTCCATCTAAGGGATACTGAGTATATAGCACTTCTTGGAGGTAGGCAGGGATACTATGCTCGCCAACATAGAGCAAAGACCATATATGTTCTTGCGGTCGTAGTGTTTTTAAAAGAATACAACCTCCGTTTGTTCAGCACATCCCTAAAGCCGAGACTGGATGAAATCTTCTCAGGATTTGATCACGATCAGCTTCCTTTACCCGCGACTCGGTCGGCAACTTGTGAGCACTCGGAGGTTCAGCAGTTCACCTCAGAGAAAACCCAACTGCAACAGTTCGTTTCAACCTATTTGTAAGCCCCTTAATTCCCTTAATTTGGATTTTAAACAGCACTTGCAAATGGGTTATAGCCACCGTGAACCTGAGAGTAGCCTTCGGTGACCGAAGAGCTCACTTGGCGGTCCATTTGAAGGGGCGAGTGGGGTGGTATAGATTGGGTACTGCCCCCACCCAGTACCTAAATGGTTTAGGGTTTATAGGGTTTAGGTTGGGTACTGCCCCCACCCAGTAACATTCTATATTAGGGGTCCTATTAAGGGCTGTATATAACAATATTATAATCCAACTGTTACTGAGGGGGAGCAGTACCCAAGGTATAGAGATCTTGAGTGTTTACGGGGTTTAGGGTCATGGGCTTCCAGAAGTTCAGGGGTGCTTTGGTGGAAGTGCCCATCATGGACTTCAGCACTTGGCGGCATGTACCATAGTATATATTCGGGGAGGTACCTATTTCTCATTACGGGTGCAGGGGCAGGGTTCTAATTAGGGGAAATGCTTCTGTTCATCCTGATGCCCCCCTGAGATTCATAGGCAGTCTCTATGTTCGCTCCCCCCAATTCGTATGGCTTCATCTCATAGCATCTGGATTTTTGGGAGATAGCTGTTCATCCAATGCAGATGCCCCTACGAAGTCTTGACACCACGCCCCTTCAGATCCCCCGAATCCCCCCGACATCGCAACACATTGCATCATTCCGAATAGCTCTTAGACAGTTCGTCAGGTGGAGGCCTGTTTTTACCTCGTTGCTCACCGGCCCCAGAATTGTGATCAATTACAGGGGGATGTGAGATGTGTGCCTGGGTATCCAAACTTGCAACAAGGTCAGTCCTACTTTCATCTATCCCCTTGACTTTTCGCGCCGCCGCTGGCTCAACCAGGATTTGTGCCCGAGGCCACTGCATCACGAAGTGACTTCTGACGCTTTCCATTCCCCTTTGCAGCCATGCGTGAGGCAATCTGCATCCACATTGGTCAGGCGCCACTGCTCCCTAAACCCGACAGCCTTAAAGTTGCGAGAGTACAGTGGGGTGATATTGGGATAATGGAAAAGAAAATGGAAACTACTACATAGTATATTGGGGTAATGGAAAAGGATGGAAACTACTACGTGGAATGTTTGGGTCATATAGGGATAATGGAAAAGAAAATGGAAACGAGAGCCACTACCAAGCCACAACCAGGTAATGGCCTGTAGTCCAGAGTCAGCATCATAAAGAACGCTCGTGTCTTCATTTGTACCAGTGCCGGCTGTCTCCATAATTAGGGGGGACCCAAGCAAGACCGTAGTACGGGGACCCCAAAAAAGTGAGAAATCAAAAGCCTTAATTCCAGGCCGAGAACAAGTGCACAAGCATAAGCAATTTGGCTCGGGACCTCGGGACCCATGTCATAGATGCAACGGTGACAGATATTGCTGCCATTGTAAGAGTGTGGTTGCTGAGTTGCGGGGCCAAGCAGTTTCTCTCAGGTATTGGGTCGGCTGGTTGGCTTTTTTTTTTGGTGAAAGTCCTCGTATCTCCATGCCGCACAAGCTTTTACAGGTCCCGCGAACGTCCACGGTCTAAGTCGCGGATATCCATAGAAAAAAGGATGGTCTTTGCGGCAGCGTTTTCCCTTTGTTTTGACGCACATAAGGCACATATAGTCCAACTATCCCCCTTAGTAACCCTTATAGTCTTTGGAAAAATGTAGCTCACATAAGCTTCTTTCGGGTCTCGAACCCGGCGCGCAGACATCCCGTGGCCAAATCCCCGACAACGACCGTTCGCGGAGTCACCATATAAGCTGTAGTCTAAACTCCTTAGATGGGGTTGTATATAGGGGACTACTATAGGGTTTCTCGAGGGGGATACTAGGAGTTTAGAGAAAAAACATATGACGTGCCGCAGGTAAACCATTCAGACACCTTGTCCCGGTAAACTGGTCATACGCCCATATCGTAGTTAGCTGGTCCACTGTTCCATGCCAGGGCACAAACCGAAAAGCTAACATGAACTTGCTCATGTTTTTTTTTGAAATAGTCCCACCCCCTGTTCCGCATTAATTTTCCCCTAATGACCAAATGTTTGGAAACCACCCCACGTCTCGTCAGGGTGGCTTGCAAACCCTGAACCCTATAAGACTTTTAAACAACCAATAGACGCCCCATATTTCCCTACAGAACCCCTACCCTGCGTTACCCCTATTTAACTTACATAACTCCTCCACTATATAATCCCTATATCACGCGTATATTACCCCTAAACCTTAAACTCCTGTTACCTCTATACATCCTTCAGGGTGGTGTGCAGATCGGCAATGCTTGCTGGGAGCTCTTCTGCCTGGAGCATGGAATCCAACCTGATGGGCAGATGCCTTCCGACAAAACGACGCTACCATGCACAACAGTCCCTAGACCCTATAGTCCCCCTTAGTAGATAGACTATGGCTCTGGGTATATTACAATAAGATCCCCATGTACCCCATATTCTGTCTATTTAAGGGGGACCCTAAATACTGAACCCGAGACCCTTTACTTCAAGAATGCCCTGTACGGTTTATGGTTCGGGGTCCTTTTCCTTCGTTTCCACCTTTACCTGCTTGTAGCGCTCAAAATGCCCTCCTTTTCGCTCAGAGCAGGATACCAACCATGAAACCTTTTGAATGAGACTTGGGGTTTAGGGTTTTAGGGTTAAGAGCCAGGGCGACAACCGCTAGAGTCTCCCTTTTATCGCCATATGATATTTCCCTAGCCTAGGCTTTCCAGGGTATCCCATATCCCACTCCAGAAAATCCCACGTGACCGCATGAGCAAAAGTTCCTGTCTCAGGATTGGCGGAGGAGATGCCCCATGGCAGCATGAAGGGTTCTCTAAGATTTTGGACCGTTTCGGGTGCCAATTATGGGTATGTAAACCTGTATGCCCCTTCGGCATCCTATCCTGCGCGTGTGGTGGGAGGATTAGAAAACCCAAGTTATTATTAGGTAATATCCCTTAGCCTCTTTCAACGACCAACATAGATAACAGCAGTCTCTCATTATGCCCTAAAATCTTAGCCCTAAATAGTAGTTTTCCCTATCATTTTACCGCAATATAACCCCAATATAACTCTAATACTATCTCAATGGGTGCTGGAATCCTAGGACCTGCCAGTGCAGGCTCTGGGCATCTCATAAGGAGGGGGTTTCCCAAAATGAGGGGTACCTTTCAAGAGGGTATAAAGGGGTTATATAGGGTTTGGGGATTAGGGTTTTGGGTTTGGGATTTCCCCAAATTAGGGGCATCTTTTGGGGGGACCCCCTGAAGGAGGACTATAATATATTAGGGTCTACATTGGGTTCCCCCTATTTTCGGAAACTACCAGATACATGCCTAGCATGACTCTGGGGTAGCCGTCTCTTCTTGTAAGATGCAGCTGGATCATTTGCAAATCTGCCGAAATGAACGCACATCCAGCGAAAGCATGTCGAAAAGGGATGTGATGTAGAAGCCTGAATAATCACGAATAGTATTCCACGAATATCGCCTCATGAGCCATAGTCTTAACTCCTTAAGGGAGAAATATACAGGATTGTATAGGATCAAGGGGGATGCTAGGAGTTTAGATTTTAGCTCACATCAACAACAGTGCCCCTCTCCAACTATGTAGGCTCCTAAGTTAAAAGTGAGAGACCTTCCTCCCCCACCTGAGTAGTATTTAATTTGGGGGGACTATGGCCAATGGGATACTATGGTACCCAACATAGAGTAAGATTATATCCTCCTTTTTGGGTATAGAGTTTTATATATGGAATATTATCTTACCAGTTTCAACCACCAAAAAAAAGGTTACTCACTAGAAACGAACCAGCCTTGCAGCGCCATGATCCCTAAACCCTGTTCAGAATTTAGAGTTTTAAGGTCTAGGGTAATATCCCCAGACTTGAAACGGCCCTACTTGGGAGGGTGTTAGGGGACTTAGTAAGTATATATATATATAACGCCTATAAACCATACGATAACCCCAGCTAGCCCAAGTATTGACCTAACTCACTAAGCCCCCCTGACCCTGAACCCTAAACCCTAAATACACCAGTAGTTTCCAGCTCTTTTCCAGCCAGTCGTCATCTGAGGACGCGTTTAACACATTCTTCTCGGAGCGGCCAGGATGAGGGTGTGGCACGCTTTTGGTTTGGTTTCCAGTTTTGGGGTATGTTCATTCCTACAGATTTCCCTACCACCCCCCCCCCCCTCCTTGTCCTATTCCTACTCCTACTACTACTGCTGTTACTATTACTACTAGTCCTCCGTCTACTACTCCTATTACCGTACTACTACTACTACTACTACTACTGCTACTGCTGCTACTGCTACTGCTACTGCTACTGCTACTGCTACTGCTACTACTACTACTACTAGTGCTACTGCTATTGCTATTGCTATTACTACTACTACGACGACTACGACTACGACCACGATCACTACCCCTACCACTACCACTACCACCACCACCATCACCACCACCCCAGCCTCAAGGGTTACACTTCATTAGGGTCATTTAAGGAGATTGAGGGTTAATCAGGGATAATTCAGGGGCTTTAGTATGGGGGGTAGCCTGCCTCTCCTCCTTGTCCATCAAAAGCATCAAAAGCTACTGGCACTGGTGCCGTCAGCAACATGCTTTTTGTTTTCACCCTAATTTGATGTCGCAGCGGAAACGTAGCAGGCAGAACTGGTACGGGTGCACTAAACGAGGGCCATCAACAGGTTGCCTTCATGATAGCGTTGGAACGAGCAGAATCCCGCGAGCAAGATTCAATCATTGCGCCCCTACAGAGATGCCGTCAGATACACCCGTAGGTACCAAGATGACTGCAACTTAGGACGGGTGCCGGCAAGCACGTACCCCGTTGCGTGATGGCCACTTGGCTATGTTCAGAGGGAAGCAGGCTCAGAGGATCCGCACCTTTGAGGCGCCTTTGGAGGCCTTTGTATGAGTAGGGGATTGGGGTAATATAGGGATAATGGAAAATAAAATGGAAACTACTATAATGGAGAATCAAATGGAAAAGAAAATGGAAAATGAAATGGAAACTAGGAGCCATAATCTAAACTCCTTAAGGGGGTTATAGAGTGGTTTATATAGGGGACTACTACAGGGGTTATTAAGAGGGATACCAGGAGTTTACTCTATAGCTCATATGCACAAAGCCACCGTAGGATACCTTGGGTTGGTCTTCATTGCTGTGCTTGTTCTTGTGCATCAGTGCCACCATGTGCCTCAAATGGTTTATTGTTACCAGCACTCATACCAACATGGGTTGTGTTGTGTCGTGCCATGGCTGGAAAAGCATCGCCATTCTGATTGCCATCGAAGCTACGGTACCCCTGGTATCGGAACAGTGGACTGAAGCTAACCCATGGCTATTTGTACCATCTTTGGAACCATTTCCGACTAGCAACAGACTGGCCAGGAAAGGATCTGTGAGGTTCCGCCCGTGTTTCATTTTCAGGAAGAGAGTGATCTCTGTTCATGATATTTGGTGACCATGCATGCTGTCATTCATGTATTCCCCCCAAGTTAAAGGCATTCAGGTTCCATGTAAGTATGGGGGAGAGTTCTGCTCCATTATCCTTAAAACATGTCAGGACCCCGCATTGTAGGATTCCTGGAGTAAACATCTCTGATTCGCTTGTTCGCCATGATCAAACGTGACATGCTGGCTGAATCCCGCGTGCACACCAACACGAGCAACGGATCCCCAGCATTCTAGAATCACCTGAAAGCGAGCAAAACCATCTTTGCCAATATCAGACTGCAATGCTCGCATGAATAAATACTGGGATCTGCTGATGCGCAGGTTTTTTGTGCAGCAAAATGCGGCGGTTTCCGGAAATCAGGGGTGGGTGCTTGAAATACGGATTATGCTGGGGGATCCATTTTGGGGATCCATACTTTTGGGAACACCCTTGAACAACCATGATGGAAGATGCTTTTTCAGAAGCCGCAGGCTTGTATGGTGTACGGTGTTTTTAGTTCGTGCAGGGTTTTTTAGTTAGTAAGGCGAGATCCCGTACTCGGGCATGAAACGACCCTCACCGCGCGCTTGCGTTGCTTTTAAGCCGCCCACAGCCACCCACGCTACATTCAATTAGGGTTTACTGTGTTTTGCATGCATGCACGATGCATGATGCCCGCGATATCGCTTCATTAATTGGACGTGTCAGTTTACTTGCCCACAGAAAAGACGTAAGTAGCCCCAGCCCAACCCTTTTCGAGCTGTAGCAGTGTAGGGATTTGCCACGAGCTTGGCTGGAGACAGCCTGACGGATTACTCATGGAGGCTGCTATGCTTCCATCACGGAACACAGCACGAATCACTGCAAGTGCATGTGGGGCTTTACGGCCAGTTGAATCTATCGTGGAAACATCCTCTTGTTGAAGCCCGACCTGCGATGTGTGGTCGCCATGCGCTCTGGTCGCCAAGCGGCGTGGAATGGCTTGAAACTGCAGCAGCGACAATGAGACGTTGGAAGTTCATTCTTGCCAAATAAGAAATGCGCAAACATGGACTCCAAGTTGGAAAGGGTCGGACGTACTACACAAGTGCAGCTTTGGAGCAAGCAGTTGGCCGAAGGCAGCGAACGACATGGCAAAATGCTTTCGCGAAGGTTGCGTCAGGATCTGCATCGTCAAAACAAGGCAAGGTCTGCAAAGGGATGGAGTGGGTGGGATGGCCCACACATCATGCCACTGAGCAACATACTCATCTTGTGCTACAATGACGATGTCCTCCGTACTCCGTCCTCCCAGGTAGCGTCATGGCCGGAGGGGTACTCATCAGATAGAGATTCCAGCTCTTGGCTACGCAGCCCTCGTCATGCTGCTGCCACAGTAGGTGCCTTCTGAGGCCATCTTGCAGCCTCGAGCCTTACAATATGGTGGTACATGAGCACTCCACAGTATGTGCCTTCAACGGCCATGTTTCCGGCCTGGCACTGCTATGCTTGTTTCCGTTTTTGGAACCATGCAGATTCATCTCTCCAGGCTTTGCGCAATGCCAGACTTCAGCAACCCAGTTTGCGCCTTCCTTATCAGGGCCGGGTTCAGGCTTTGGGGTTGCACACATCGACGGTTTTGCCGTCACGTCTCCACGACCGGTTCTTTCTGCCATGCGCTCGGGTTGTGAGCCCTCATGAGCCCTCTCAGCTTTTGGGGTTTGTCGCTTGACGGCAGCAACCCTTTACTTGGTTTAGCTGAAGGTACTCCCAACAGTCGTAGACGGCAGCAGCCAAACGGCAGACATTAATTATTATACGGTTATCATCATTTGTGTTATTATGAAGATTACGTCTACGTATTATCGCTACCATCATCAGCATCGTCGTCGACGACGTCGTCATCGTTGTGGTTATTGCGATTGCACCGGGTTCCCAAGAGCTGACAGGTCTGACCATTTGCAAGGTTAATTAGTTAGATCTGAAGCGCAACATCAAATTCAAAATTGAAAGGTTGGTTTGGATGGTTTTTGCAGATTATTGCGCCAGCCAGCACGGTGCTTTTCCAGCAAAATAATGTGAAAGGTTGATTTGGAGCCAACCGTCGTGGATGAGGTTCGCACAGGGACCTACCGAGCCTGGGACGATTATAGCTTCGGGCTTTCAGGTTCAGATTTGGGCCAAAGTTTGGTGCGACGCTTCTCTACCCAGCGGTCAATTCGGCCAGACTCTGTCCACATGAGCAGTATTTTATTTGAGGATACTATGGTACCCATTATAGAGTAAGATATATCCTCCTTTGGGGGTATAGTATTTTATATAAGGAATGTAACCTAACTGGGTTTATCCACAAAAACAACCGTCACGCACATGGTGTCGTTTTGTCTGAAGTCTCAAGCGTGAATGGTCGTTCATGTAGTTCCCGCACTGTTCCTTTGAATTCCTAGAGAAGCCGCTTTGAAATGCTGTTGAACAGCCCTGCTACGACCCCCCCTTATGCCGTCTTCCCTACATATTCCTCGGTCTTAAATATGTCCTTAATCCTGAACCCACAAATGCCTTACAACCCTCAATTGCGCCCCTTTGTGTTTTCCGCGTCAAGCCCTGAAAACCCTAAACCAGTGGGCAATTTGTAACGACCTCACCCCTTAAGGTGGTCTACCTACAAAACGGTTCCCTGATGGTTTAATCTCTGGCTTCGAAATTGGTCTAGAAGGGGACGTATGTTCCTCTTATAACCCCAATATACCGTAAACCTTGCGCCATTTATGTAATCCCGGTACTGGTTCTTACAAACCAGTGCCAAATGACCCCCGGTTGCAATTAGCTCAGGCCAGCTGTTCCACCCTGAGCAGCTCATTTCTGGGAAGGAAGATGCTGCGAACCTCTGGCCCAGAGGGTATACGGGTTGACGGTCCAGGCTGTAGGGTTTGAGGAAGGGTGCGGCTATATAAGGTCTACGGCTTAGGGTACAGGGAAAACCCTACGCCCTAAACCATTGTGTATCATTGTGGCTTGTATTCTTGTTACTATTACTAAGCCTCAGTTTTCTGCCACCCGCGCACGGATTCCAACAGCAAGGCTTCGGGTGGTTTACGATGACACACAAAGTCACAAGAACCCGAAACAGTTTGAAGTTCAAGGTGTGGGGAGCATAATGGAGAATCCAACGTATAGTACACGCCCTATAACCAAGGACAACCCTAAACCCTAGGAGTCCAGAATTTTGACAACCTTGTGCGTCGATTCCAGGAATAACTTCGCTCGAGGACATTACACGATTGGGAAGGAGATCGTTGATCTTGCCTCCGGGCTCGAACGAGTTAAGGGTTTAGGGATTAAAAGTTTAAAGTTCGTAGTTGTCCACACGCAAACTATCGTGGAAACCTATAGAGCATATTACCCCAATAGTGGAGAACTAAAAAGGCAAGAACATGGGCCATTACATGAAAGCTGCGTTCAGAGTTAAGGCATGTGCGAGTTTCTCAAAGTGGGGGGCCCCTGGAAACCGCAAGGCTATGTAGAGGATTATGGGGTTCCCTATCGCGTGATTTTATTACCCTAAACCCTGTAAACCTTCAACCCTACAGTACCCTAAACCCTAAACCTTAAACCCTGTTATATAACCCCATATCATGCGGCATCCTGCCAAGCATGTTTGTGTCGTGGAAGTGGCTCCGAGGTCTTGGATCGCATCCGTAAACTTGCCGACAATTGCACTTTGGCGGACCCTAGGGTTTAGGGTTTGGGGTTTTGGGTTTAGGGTTCAGGATCTAGGGTTCAGGGTTTAGGGCTTAGGGTTTAGGGCCTAGAGTTGAGTGTTTAGGCGGGCGTTCAGTGCGCTGCTGGTGCTTGGGGGTGGGTGGGGAGTGGTTTAGGCTTTAGGGTCTAGGATCTAAGGTTTAGAGTCGGTCGTTTTATCGGGCTTGGGTAAACCAACATCAGGTTACCACCTACTAATAAAAACTCTATATAAGCGTAGTTCCCGTTCTTCCATCTAGCCATTACCATATAATACAGCACCGGGCGACTTTGGTTGAGCTCACCCCGAGGAGGGGGTGGATTACTCATACTCCCTACTCTCCTACAAGTTGTTCGGGGGGGGGTGTAAATTACTCATACTGGAAGTAAAGCAATTTTTGCAATGTTTTGCTTGCGATGCTTCTTCTGCCGTTTAGGGCTTAGGGTTTTGGGTTTAAGGCGCTCTCTCGAAGGAATTTCCACCGACCGTTTTGTGAAGCAAGGACATTTTGCCAACAAATGAGGTCTCGCGCAGACGTGCTTTCCCAAAGCCTGAAAGTTACAACGCTCGAAGCCCTGAAGCCTAAGCCTCAAACCCGAATCCCTAAAGACATAAGATGCGCCCATGTCTCCTTCCACTGCCCTCTTTATCTTTATCTACAAGTGTAAATGCATACATGTCCCAATATATCTCTACATCGCTCTCTCTCTCTCTCTCTCTCTCTCTGTCTCTCTCTCTCTCTCTCTCTCGCTATATATATATATATTTACATATGTATGTATGTATAAAAAAATACACATTTGCATAGATATTCATTTATCCATATCTCTCCCCAAATACCTAGATCCTTCATAGACCCTCTATATACCCACCATTAGGACCAGGAACCATATAGCCTTATTTCAGGGTACAAAGAGGGTCCTAAACCCCAAGCCCTAAACCCTAAGCCCTAAACCCTAAGCCCTAAACCCTAAACCCTAAGCCCTAAACCCTAAACCCTAAGCCCTAGTCAGGCACTGGGCTCCAGGGCTTCTGTGTCTACAATGCCTGCGGCGGTGGCACAGGATCCGGATTGGGATGCCTGATGCTGGACGGCTCTAACCCTAAGGCTCCAAATAGCCCAATGTAGGTTATATTTATAGACATTGGGGCCCAATGTAGGTATTATTTACAGACATGGAGCCCTAGGGTAATGGGGTTGTTAGGGCTATTACGGCTTAGGGTCTAGGATTCAGGATTCAGGGTTTACGGTCGAGGTTATGAGGAGACTTGAGGAGGGGGGTTCTAGGGCAGTTGGCATTTTCTGGGTGAAAGATGGAGCTCTTGAAGCACGATTAGCTTTGAAGGTGGATACTCATGTGAATTGAGGCGGCAGCATCCGGATAATGTGTGAGAACCGCTCATGGGGCTTCTTATAAAAAAAAAAGCACGGGGTCTTTTCCAAAACCAGAGATGGCAACATTTGTGTGTAATTTCAACGCGCTTCAGAGACCCTAAGCCTTAGACCCTAAACCTTTAAGGTTTAGGGTTCAAGGCTTAGGGTTTAGGGTGTAGGGTACTTAACTATCCTGAGACTAACAAGGGTATTTTCATAACCCCAACACCCAAAATTAGGACCTTATAACCATCATATGATAGTCATAGGGTCCTAATTTTGGGGGTTGGGGTTACCAAAATCACCTAAACCCTAAACCCTAAACCCTAAGACGGGCCTAGGATGCTGGAACGCTTGTCGGTGGATTATGGAAAGAAGAGCAAGATCTCCTTCACGGTCTGGTGCTGCCCCCAGGTTGCCACCGCGGTCGTCGAGCCCTACAACACGGTCTCTTGGCACTTTAGAGTTTAGGGATGTTAACCCCCATAATTTGAAGCGTCAAATGGACGAGAAATTGGAAATCAAATGGAAGCTGGGATTATATAGTAGTAGTTTGCATAGCGCCCTGCGATTTTTAAGGTACACTGACTTTCAGACCACAAGATTGAAACAGCAAGCGATTTATTTGCCTTCCACTGATTTCAACAATGAAGGTCTTGTGCGTGCACTCCCTCCTGGAGCACACGGACGTCACGATCATGTACGACAATGAGGCGCTCTACGACATCTGTCGCAGGTCTCTCAGTGCAGATTTGGTATGGGTGTAGGAAGGGCAAGCTTTCATGTTACCAGCAAAAATTTTGTCGTGGCCGAACGTCTTCTCTAAGCTCCGTCTTCCTGGGGTTAGCAGGGAGTAAGGGGATATATTAGATAGGGGTTATCTTGGGATTATATTCCCTTAACCCCGAAACCCTGGCCCTAAACCTTAGACCCTGAATCCTAATCCCTACTTCCCTACTCACCACCAGTAGGCAGTCCTTGCCAGGAACCTGGACATCGAGCGACCTACGTACACCAACCTGAACCGCCTCATTGCCCAGATCCTAGGTACTCCATTAGGGTTTAGGGATTAGGGTTCAAGATTTAGGGATGAGGGTTTAGGGTTTAGGGTTTAGGGTATGGGGTAAGTCAGGTACCCCAGTAGTCTGCCCTCTCTCCTTTTTATTAGGGTCTAGGGTTCAGGTTTGAGGTTTTTGGTGTTTAGGGCTTAGGGCTCAGGGTTTAGGTTTGAGGTTTTTAGGGGCTGGGTGCCCAGTAGTAACTTTTTCCCTGTTCAGTAGGGTCAGGGTTGACTAGGTAGCCCAATTGTTTGTAACTTTTTCCCTTTTCATTTTGGGGTCTCCTTATTGAAGCTGAGCATTAGGAAAAGGGTACCCTTATAGTTAAGGGGTTAACTGGGGAACCAAACCCTAAACCCCTAAACCCCAAACCCCTAAACCCTAAACTCCTAAACCCTTAAATTCCTAAGCCTAATCCCTTAAATTCCTAAACCCTAGTCCCTAAACCCCACACCCTAAACCCTAAACCATTTAGGATCATCTCCAGCTTGACTGCATCTCTGCGCTTCGACGGCGCCTTGAACGTGGACATCACGGAGTTCCAGACCAATCTGGTCCCCTACCCGCGCATCCACTTCATGTTGCTGGGCTGCAGCCAAGGGTATTAACTAGGTGAACCACATTAACCGGTGTATATATATATATACATATATATATATATGGATATAGATATGTCTATACACACACACACACCCGTTTTTGTAAGTTAAGTAATTGGTGTATATAGAGCCATTCTGGCAGTTCAAATTATACGGCAACTTCACTTCAGTTCCTCAAGCAGGAGCCCAGGCCCTAAATCCAAAACCCTTAAGCCCCCAACCCTAAACCCTAAAACCCTTAAGCCCAAAACCCTAAACCCCAAAACCCTTAAGCCCTAAACCCTTAAGCCCTTGAGCCCTAACCCCCTGAAGTAGTTTCCATTTCCTTTTCCATTATTACTATATAACCCATATATAATCCCTATAGTCTATTAAACCCCTAAAAGCCCCAACCCAGGCTGACCTCCTATGCCCCGGTCATCTCGGCCGAGAAGGCGTACCACGAGCAGCTGTCCGTGGCTGAGATCACGATGCTGGGTTGCTGTTAAGGGACTTAAATTAAGGTACCATAATGGGTATATATAATAAATATTAGGGCTTCCCCAATATAGTCACTTGAATTAAGTTCCTTAACAGCAACCCAGGATGTCAGTGTTTGAGCCGGCATCCATGATGGTGAAATGCGATCCGCGCCATGGTAGCTCGCTCATGTATATATAGGGAAAATGGAAAATAACATGGAAACTACCGTTTGGGGTAAAGGGCTTAGGGTTCAGATGGAGACTGTGTTTCGTTCAACGTTCAGGGTTAAGGGTTATGATCAGGTACTCATAATCGAATGCCCAATGGTAAATGAACCTGAAAACTGCATGGACTCTGCGTTCATACAGAGTTTTTCACAGGATTTGGACGGTGTGGATTTTGTGGGTTGTCAGTGCCCTAAATGATAGAGGCGGTATTATGGAGAGGATCCTGGACAAGACCATCATTTTAACAATGCCATTACTATATTCGCATACACCAGGACCACGGATCAACCTGATATGAGAAGTTGTAGATCACACGAATGTGCTTGACAACTCAGGCAAGTACATGGCCTGCTGCATGATGTACCGTGTGGAGCCCAGTAGGGTCCAGTAGGAGCAAGCAGCAGTCTCCTGCACGTGTTCCTCAAGCTTCATCTCTCGAGTGCTTATCCCGCTGACTCCAAGGTGGTGATGTTGTGCCCAAGGATGTGAATGCTGCCGTCGCCACCATCAAGACCAAACGCACCATCCAGTTCGTGGACTGGTGCCCCACCGGCTTCAAGTGTGGCATCAACTACCAGCCACCGACCGTGGTGCCCGGCGGTGATCTGGCGAAGGTCATGCGTGCCTGCTGCATGAGCCCCGGCAGAGATTCATGAGTCTATGCCATGGGCAAATTAGCGGTCCTTGGGCTTCATAAGCATACCTTGAATCATTCCCGCTTTCGGTCCTAATTGTGGTCACCGTTACTGTAGGGAGGGATGACCTGAAGCATACCTCCTTTGGCCCTCGCCTTTGCAGCGAGTACGATTCACTTCAGGTACTTGAGGGGTCAGGGGACTTAGTGAGTATACGTATAATCTCAAACCCCGGCCCAAGCACTAACCTACTTGCTGAGTCCCCCTGACCCTAAGCTCCAGACTCTTGATAATGTTGTAGTTTCCATTTCTTGTCCTGACCCTCCAAGTAGGGGCTTACAGGTACGTTGTAGCTAATGTAGACCCCTAACTAATAATCCCGCCCTTTTAAGGGGCTTAGTATTAGGATCCCAATTATGAAGCGTATTAGGGGAAGGGCGTTGATTAATCGGGGTTTGGGTTACCTTGGATTGCCAACTGGAGGCGGCTGAATTTCCTTTGTAAGGCTCACGAAGCTTCATTCTGAGTAGCTTTTTTAGCCCATAGTCCCTGAACTCAAGCTGTAAGCTTTAGGCCCTGAAACCTAAACCCTGAACCCCTAGTCCCCAGTATGGATAAACAACAGCTTCAGGAATCCCTTTAAGCAGCGCCATCTAGGATCTCAAACAGCACTGCCATCGCGGAAGTCTTCTCCCGCATCGATCACAAGTTCGATCTGATGTACTCCAAGCGAGCCTTCGTCCACCACTACGTGGGAGAAGGCTTGGACTTGGTCTCAAGTAGAGTCTAATATAGAATTCAGGGTTTAGGATGTAGGGTTTAGGGTTTAGGGTTGGGAAAGCCTGCAGGATTTCCAGGATTTTTCTAGTGGTAGCACAAGACTCCACGAATTGTTTTGCAACACTATTCCTGAAGCATTATTGTATAGTTTTAGCCTGACATGCCCAAACACCCTTGACCCTAAACCCCGAAACCTTTAAACCCAAAAACCCTTAACCCTTAAACCCTAAACCCCGTAAGCCTTAATTGAACCCTAACCCGTATCCCCTAAACCCCTAAACCCCGTGGCTACGAACCTCCGACCTGTCGGGCTGTTCCTCAGCCCTCCATTAATCCGACGTGGAAAACTCTGGCAGGGTGTAAGTAATTAGAACAGGCTTTGGGTTTTTGGGAATAGCGCTTAGGGTTTACGTTGGGGCTCAGGTGGACTTCGTAAGTATGATTATGAGCTATAAGCTTTGTAGTAGCCCCAAATATCTCCAGTGTTAACCTACTTACTGAGTACCCCAGACCCTCCAAGTAGTATGAGCCCTAAACCCCAAGCCCTTAGGGATCTTAGTATGATAAGGGTATGTTAATCCTGAACCCCAAGCCCTACACCCTAAACCCTCAGCCGGAGATGGTTGCAGGCATGGAGGAGGGAGAGTTCTCTGAGGCGCGCGAGGATTTGGCTGCCTTGGAGAAGGACAGGCAGTTTAGATGTAGTGTTTCTGGTATCGGGGACTATTTGGGGTCCATTTGAAGGTGCCATAGTCGTGGATAGACTATAGGGGTTTGAGGGTTTGAGGTTTTGAGCTGGGGGGTTGATCTAATGTTTTCCTGGACCATACAGAACTTTAGAAACATATACCACAAGAATACAGGACATAACCCCAAAGACCACCCCAAAGACGTGGGTTCCGTGTTGGCCATGTAGCGCATAATTGAAACATAAAGCTCAGGGTTTAGGGATTTGATCGGAAAGGTGTCGCTTGGGGAGTTTCAAGGGCATCTAGTGATTATGCGAGGATTACAAGAGGGTGCCCAGGGATCACCTAACAGGGTTTAGGGTTTGGGGTTCAGGGTTGAGGGGTTTAGGGCGAAATCCCATTTCGGGGGTATGCAGAGAGGTACGGACCGTTAGACCTTACAACTTTTCCTGGAGTCTGCATGTTCGCTGCCTGGTTTTCTGAAAACTGCCTTGCTATCCAGGCTGCCCACGTCTTTGCATATATATATATGTGTGTGTACGTTATATACAAATTTTTTTTATCTAATACTGGCAGAAAGTGTCGCTGCTGTGGACAATCAGTCCGCACTATGATTGTTTCCCATGGCGTCGACTTTCAACGTACAACCCTCAACCCCAACCCCCGGCTTTGGGTAATTCACAATAAGATCCCCATATACCCCATATTCTATCTACTTAAGGGGGACTATATTCCCTTATTCCCTACTGTCCTTAGTAATGTAGAATTCTGTTGCAAAGAAATTTGACATTCCTGCCGTAGGACTACGAAGAGGTGGGCATTGAAACCGCCGAGGGAGAAGGACCCCAGGGCGGATGAAAGGGGCTTAGGGTTTAGGTTTTAGGGTTTAGGGTTTATCCCAAACCCTAAACCCTAAACCCTAACCAGTAGTTTGCCTTTTGGCTTTTCTTTTCCATTATCCCTAATAGAACCCTCATATAACCCCAATAGTATCTTTATATAAACCCCTCTATAACCCTCATATAACCCTTATATAGCCCCTAAAACAATATCCCTATATAAACCCTAAACAAATCCTTATATCACAAGACCCTAAAGCCTAAACCCTATATAAACCCATATTTAACCCTATAATTTTCCTATAGAAACCCTGAAAAATCCCTATATAATTCCTAAAGGGATACACCCTATAATTTTCCTATAGAAACCCTTAAAATTCTCTATATAATTCCTAAAGGGATACAAAGGGTCAGATTCACTACCATCCTTCAGGCTTCAGGATTTGAGTTCCTTCCGCAGGGGTGGACCAAGGAACTTGGCTAGTTGTTGCTTAGGGTTTAGGGTTTTAGGGTTTTAGGGTTTTAGGGTTTTAGGGTTTGGGGTTTAGGGTTTAGGGGTTTAGGGTTTGAGTTTTAGGATTTGGGGTTAAGGGTTTAGGGTTTGTTGATTCTTTTCCTAGCTCCACCAAGCGCATCTTGTTGCGTAAAGATCTGTATGGGGCTCAAAGTCCCTAAGCCTTACAGTGTGGTTCAATCCCCCACGCAGTGCTGGATACCACAAAGGATTAGTGTAGGTAGATCTAGGCCCTACTAACTCCATACGTGGGGCTATCACTGTATGGGGGTTGACCTAACCAACAGCTTTGGAAAGCACGCCACGGAATTCAGGAGTCCATGTAGGATTTCAAGCTTATCCCAAGCGTCGGGATGTCCCGCTGTATATGGGCTGCACAGGGTTTAAGAACCTATACTTCTACGGTATAGTCCCCCTCAAACAAGTAAATAGAACATGTGGGGTGTATAGTGGGTCTATGGTGAGCTTATTTTGATATTGAGCAATTCCATACTCTAGCTACTTAAGGGGGACCATAAGGCGCTAGAGCTGCAGGTCATCTCCGGAATTTCTCAAAAAAATCCCTACTCAGTAATAGTGATTATAAGTTAAAATAGGGATTATATTAGGGTCCTCTTATATTGCTATTATACCACTATTACAGGGTGAGGGGTCCTCCTAAGGTCTTTCATGTTCCTCCATGCTTTTGTTCCATCCCTTGGATGTTCCTCCTTTGCACGAGGAGAAGAGGAAGGGTATGGCGATGAGTTCTGAGACTCCTCCCACGACATGATGTCCTGAGTCAGCGCCCGGCATAGTGTCTTCTGGAAGGGAGAAAACCTTAAGCCTAACAGTACGGTAGGGCAGAATCAGCTATGCCAAGATGTCACGGATGTTGGGCCGCTTCTCGGGCAAGATGTACTGCAGACCAGTAAGTCAACTGTACTTGCTGGGATGCTGTGAGTCCTTGTGCTGACTCCACCTTGGTCAGCCAGGTGGACGTTGGGACTGATGCAAGCGAGAGTGACAAATTGGCACAGGTGTGCCGTGCATGGTCTTTGTGCCTGTGACCCGTTTGTGAAGTACTTTAAAGTAATTAGATTATGGCCCACAGGAAGATGCACCGTACTGTTCTTTTGTAATGATTAGGGATTGTAAGCAGCAAGTCAAGGCGACCGCCCTGTTTTGGACTCTACACGATATCCGCCTTATTGGAGGCTACCAGTACCGACACAAGGCTCCAGCTGTTGACTTTCGCAGCAATACAGAAGGCTACAGAATTAACTTCGGCTGCCCATTATGCCGCATGCAATTGGAAACCAACTTGACCGCCGCGCCCCTAAACCACAAACCCTATCACAACCTTGGCCCCTAAAGTGTAAATCAATGTTGTTGATGGTAGGACGGAAATTTCAAGAGTTCATATGGGAGTTTATCCAACGTTTGCCTACATGACCTCTTACGGGAAACCTAAGCCTGTTCATTTGATATTGGGAGTTTCCCAAAACCACGAGTACCCTTTGGGGCCTCCTGTAATGAGGATTATACTATAGTATTTTGGGGTCTTTATTGCGGTCCCCCTATTTAGGTAAATGACCATTGATTTGCTATCAGCCATAATCTAGACTCCTTACAGGGGGTTCTATACGAGATTATATAGGGACTACTATAGGGGTTACTAAGGGGGATACCAGGAGTTGAGACTACAACCCCTATAATCCCCTACATAACCCTATATATAGCAGTTTCCATTTCATTTTCCATTTTCTTTTCCATTTGATTCTCCATTATGAAGGGGGATACTAGGAGTTTAGACTATAGCTGATATAATAACCCT